CTAAAACGAATAATTCCCTCAAAATTAATACAAATGTCTCTGATGTTACTGTTATGATTACTTATTTAGCCTTACTCAGCTTCCCTAATAATGTAGCTTTGTTTTGTGAAAAAATATTGATAGTGATTACAAGCATATGAAGAACCATTAAAAAGTGAGCTATAACATTTTTTCATTAAGGTTCATAGAAGTATTTACAGAAATATCAAATATAAATGAATTATTTAATTTATTAAAATTAATTGGACCCTGCATATGACATAAAATATATTAGGTATTACGTATACAGTAAAAAAATATATCATTCTACTTTATAGATGTTCAATCTTAACAGCAAGATAATACAAATAAGCTGATGTGTCTAATTATAATAACAAACGGTTCTGATCCGAATTTATAAAATAAACATAAATACATATAATAAGGCAATTAATATGAATAGCAGAAACTATCGTTTTCTTAAACATTATTTGAATGAATAAAAACCAGTTTGAAGATTAAAATCATATAATATATTCATACAAAAATCAATTATCATTTCCCATGGAATCTAGCAAAGAAAAATGAAAAAAAGGACATTTTTCTATGATGTATTAGCCATCTTAAAGCACTTTTATCCAGTTAAATACAAATGTAAAGTATTTTGTAGCTATTCGTTATATTAAGAGGACCTTACACTTTCTTGGGTCGGAAAAGCCGACTTTTTAGAAAGTATCATATTTGAATAATATTCTCTATAAAGTTCAGAAGAAAATTCGAAATACTTTCGAAGTTATAGACGATTATAGCACCAAGTGTAAGGCCGGCCAAATCCACCACGCGGCATTTCGGCCGTGTTAAATTACTTTATTAATTGTTAATTAAATGAATTTAATGAGAGAAAAAGAACTCTCTAGGTATAGCTGATTTAACTTAAGAAGATTTTATATGTGATAATTCGTTTGTTAAAACTTTAAACGCGTTTTTCTCAAAACAACGTTTTTGTAATCGGCGTGCATGATAACTTAAAAACCATTTAACCAATCGATCTACAATTTTAATATATTCTTCTACATAACAATAGCTCCAGTATAGACTAGAATAAATATGATTGGTTAATTTTTTCTCAATTTTTAACGTTTCTTTTGCGAAGAAAATGCTATTTTTGAGACCATCAACTTTGGAGGTCCACCATTTTGTGAATTTTTACTCAAACAAAATAATGGTAGTCTATACTGGGGCCATAGTCATACTTTTTCTAAGGATAATTCTTTTTTTTTAGACGTTCCAGTGAGCCGCAATCGTGTACGCCAGCAGATCAAAATTTTTTAAATGACCTCCATGAGGCTGCAAAAAGCCCCTATAAAATATCATTTATAAAATTATATAAAAATTTTTTCTTGTATTTGAAAACTTAAGATGTCTATCAAAAAAATTACGGACTCAAAAAATGTTTTTTCATTACTTTATCAGTCCCACAAAAATTATCCAAATTTTCAATCGAGAAAGTGTAAGGTCCCCTTAACCAAAAAGCACTTCCTTTATATAAAGCAACCTTAGAAAAATAGAAAAATTTTTTTATCAAAAAAATGTATCCTTTTCATATAAAATAAGTATGTTATAGAGTTAAACTGAGCTTTAGATCATTGAAGCTCGTTGATAAATACCAACTATACATTGTACGTAAACAATATTTGTAACAGAAAGAGATAATACAAGATAGCAGAAGGTAATCGAAGTAGTAAAAAGGTATGAATTTTCGAATTTTTTGACGTGGAAAATATTACTATCAAAGAATAATTATAGACTTTAACTGATAACACGGGTTAACAAAATTTAACTTTTTTTTTGGTCACAGAAAGATTAATCGGCGATCTTAATAAAATGGCATCCAAAATAAGCCAATTTTTAATATAAATAAAAAATACTATTAAGATCACCCATTAAACCTTCTGTGGCAAAAATCGTGTGGACCAGTGTAATAGGACAGGCCCGATGTAATCTTTAAAATTTTTATCTTCTGTTCAGTTTTTTATTTACTCAGTACTTACTTTTCCCATTTAATAATGTGTTACTAGTAATTATACAAAACAAATCTAAAATGGTTGAAATAAGCAGAAATTACCGAATATTGAAGAAAATTCCAAATATATCTTTAATATTGAAAATATTGCATGTACATTATTTTACACAAAATATTAAGGCAAATTAAACATTGTGCGTAGTACAATAATAATTATTGTATAATATTTGTAAAATTATTAACAATACTTCCACAGTTATCCTATTGAAAGTATTCAAAGAAAATGAAAATCTATTATCCGAATTAAAATTTAACAAATACGTATAAAAGACTTTTAGATAATAATGTGAGAGGAATTGATTGATTAATAAGAAACATTCTTTAATTTTGTTTTGTCAAAAATTAATGGAATCAATTTTGTTTTATAAAAATAGCAATTAAACCCACGCCTAAAAATCATTGATACTAAAATTTTAATTGTATCATAAATTTATAAATCATTTTTTTAAATAAACGTATGCGTTTAATATTGTGATAATAAAATACCCGTACTTTTACATTTTTATTTAAGTGAATATGAACAAATACCTTTTAGTATTTTTTAGTTTCCTGTTAATTCTTTATTAAATATATGTGGATAACAAAATAAAGTAAACTTGTAAGTCGTACTACAAAATTGTCACTATAATGAAATGGATGAAGAAATTCTATTAATATTAACATGCAAGGCGTCCCACGTATGTACATACCTAACTGTCGCTACGGTTTTTGAAACATTTTCGATAATCGGTTGAAACAATTGTTTTGATATGAAAGTTCATCAATCTTAATTGAATTATAAATTGGAATACGAAAAATTTCAAAAAGTTTTTCTGTCGTTAAAAAATCAACATCACCTTCGTTTTTTTTATTGCACTGTATACTTACGATTACATATTTTTATAGACGATATTAAGACGAATTCAACGACCTTGTTTATTGTAACTATTTACTCTTAAGAACAAAAAGTAAATTATTCTTAATAAGCATTACAAAAGTATATTAAAAGTTATAACTTTTTAAGTATTTTTTATATCTATTACAGTGCGTCAGTTCTCGTTAATATTCATAAGATATTGCTAACATTATTGCATTTAATTTAAACACAACGTATATGTGAAAAACATATATATACATTTTATGCTAGCGTTTAGTGTCATCGTGGGTGCGTTACTCTCATATTAACTCATGTTTATAAAAAATATATAAAGATAACTTTTACGGGAAGATAGCAGAATTTGTTGATAAAATATCAAGTATTATTTTAAAAGTAATAGCTGCTTATAAAAACGACTGATAAGTTTCTCTATGATGCAGATCAAAATGCCTGAAAATTACTATGAATCGAATGAATAAGACGATTATAAATATTTCGATATCCTCTTCACACTTTGCATTTCATAACGCAAAAAATAATATAAACGTTACAAGAAGGAAAGGTTGCTTTTACATGAACGATTACAAGAAAATTGAACGCAACGGAAAACATGAACCTGTAGAAAAATTTCCGAACTTCAACAAAGTAAACCTGAGAAGAATGTATGAAATTTATTAAATATATATGTTAAAATTAGTTGACTTTTGATAAAAAATATTATGAGCTGACAAATCAATTATTCATATGAAACTGACCATCATTAAAATTTATGTATCAAGACATAGTGTTTCGAGAGAGTTTTTCGGTATTATAGCGTTAGAAAAATCATTAATATTATATGGGAGAATAAATAAAAATTTTTATTAAAAATTATTTTCAAAATTATAGTAAACAAAAAGTCAAAGCTGATTCTCTAACAATAAAATTCATCCATCCATAAGGCTATAATCTTAAATTATATCAAAGATAGTGTTAATCTACTTGAGTGGTCACCACACAGTTCCGACTTGTCACCAATAGAAAATATGTGAGTATTGTCCAAATTAGAAACAGCCAAGAAATATTGCAAAATATTAACGAATTAAAACTTTGTATTTTGAGAACTTGATAAAAATTTAACGCAAAAGAATGTACAAAATATGCTTCAGTTGTTTCAAATACACTTACTAGAACATCACAAAGAAAACTCACCATTCTGAGTATTAAATCCTATACTTACTTACGTCTGTATTGAAGAATCAAATTTATAAAAATATTGTAGAAATAAATATTTTGTTTAAATTTGTAGTTACTCGAAATAATACAATTATGTTTATATCCGATATAATTCATACTTTCATTAATAAATTATTTATTTAAAGAAAACTTGAATGTTCCCTTACTTTTATCATCCACGGTATGTTTATATTATTTTTCTGACAATTCCCAATTAGTATACAAATGTACGTCGAATTTTGTGAATTATAATATTTTATAGTTAAAGAGAAATGTCTTCAAAAACTATCTATATAGAAAATAAGAAATTATTTTTCAAATATATAAAATCTCATTTCGAAATTATTTGTATTATAACAAACATTATTTAAAGGCTTAATTACTCTTATATTAATAATTACAATATATGTATTTTTTCATTAATTAGACATACTTTAATTTCTTTAATTTCACATTTTCAAAAATTTGGAAAACTTTGTCATACAAAGATGAAAGAAATGAACTTATAGAAGCAATACCAGGATTACAAAGTCAAGGAATACATAGTTCGTATTGATTACTTTGATAGACGATCAATTATTCACATACACACACGATCTTACTTGTCACTGTATTACAGCGTTACCTTTAGAACTACAAGGTTAGAGATCTAAGGCCGTTCGATTGAATTAATTATCGAACTTCTACTTTTGTTCAAACGTTGAATATTTATAATACAATTTATGAAATTAAGAAATATATGAAATTAAAATGTATATAAACCAATTTATGAAAAAAGTGTAATTTAAGAACTGTGTATTACAGAAAACTATTGATTGTCGTATTTAAAGAAAAAAAGCAGGATTAGAAGTGTAAGAGAATAACGCTAATATACAATTTGCATATATTTACAATCCTTTTTTGTACAGATTGCTTATACAACTGCTGTCTTTGACATCAATTACATGCTTTACAGGATCTTTTTAAAATTGTAACTTAGAAAGAAATTTGAATGTCTTAAATTATAAAAATTTTTGTACCAGATCATCATTTGTACATTAAGTTGGCATGTTAATCAAACATGTAGGACACTTTTAACACTTTCTACAATCTGTTGTTTACTAAAACATACTATAAAATTTCTGTAAAGAGCAGAAATAAGTAATTTTTCATATACTATTCTGAAAATAACAATTATACAAATCTAATTCAAAACTACTCTGTTATTTTATTTTGAAAAATGTATTATATACCGCCGAACTTAAAGAATGTATTATATACTACCAAATTTACAGAAAACTTAAAGCGATTGTAAAATTGATTAATTGCTGAAAAGATTGTAATAAAAAAATGTAAAATTAAATATCATTCAAATGAAGTACATTGTACATAAAAATAGGTATTGCTATACACACAATTCATTCCACTTTGAAATTAAATTTAAAATTAAATTCATTCATGGAATTTGCACTTGATTACTCAGTACTTAATTCTATGTTCTCGTATGTTATAAAGTATTTACCTACATACGTGACGAAATATTAGTACATATTGTTAATTATCTATACATTTTTATGTTGTCAGGACAAGGAGTATACATAGACATATACATTAAAAAACTAAATTCACTGTTGATGGTCAACGATGTTTTTGATAAATAATGCCTTACACAATTATGCAAGACTCTGATTAAGCAAACTTAAATTTTGTTCACATAATGGCATTTTAGCTAAATGTTGAATCTTAATCTATTGGTGAGAAATTGGTGTTTTCTGTTCCCTTATATGGTGACATATGTACTTTCCCCAGTACACACTAAAAAATTGCACATATACAATTTCATTCATGTAAACTACATTCATTTTTTTCACAGCCTTGTTGTGAAAATATAATTTGGAAGATAATATTAATACATTGTTTTTCGCATATGTATTGGATATGCTTCTGCAATAGAGCTACCTCATAAAAGGAAAACTGCATTGCTAAAAACTTCATAAACTTTTTTTAGCAATATGTCAGAATATTACTCCAAATATCCGACATAAATGTTTTGTAACTTCTGCAATACCTATATTCATCTGCGAGTTTCTATGTACAATAGATAGTATATTGCTGCACCATTTTCTTAATAGTACGATTAGTTCTTTGTCATTGTTATATAATTGCTTTTATTGAGCCTGTCTCTGTAGCACAAAACTCACGAATATTGTTTCCTTCTTGAGTCTCCTCACAAGCAATATTACTGCAAATGTTTTCATTTCCTGATTCTTCGCTGAATCTTACACTGTCAAGCTTTAAATTTATTGAGCTGTCCGTTTTTGACAAATCACTAACATCTGTATCATCCAACCCCAATGTTCCGTCTATAGAAGAGTCATTTTTAGATTCTTGACTAAGACAAGAATCGTCAAGATCTGATTTACTTTCACAATATTTTTTAGAAGTTATGTCATAAACAGATTGTGGTGAAAGTGATTGTTCAAGTTTAGACAATTCTCCCCCCTTTGCATCTTCCGATTTATTTAATTTTTTAACTAATTCAGCCCATGGATCTTCCAAAAAAGATTTCATATCTACGTAGCTTGATATGTCAATCTGTTTGCGCGCATCCTTCTGGTAACCCTAAATGTGAAAAAAATATGTTCGATACCATCTAACGGAAAGAATTTTTGGTCCTGCAGACAAGACTGATGAAAGTTCTATTCAAAATTACCTTTTTCTGACCATGAAACTGTTTACCAGAGTGCTTGTAAGGAGAGTATGAATTATTGTAATTTGATTTTGAGGTTGCATGATAATTGTTCCTGTAATGGTTAAATCCACCGCTACCTGAATTACGATGATTACGACCACCTCCAGAACCATACCAATTACCACTATGTCTTTTTTTCTCCGACACTGGTGTACTAATATTCAAAGGAATAAAGTCGTTTCCAGTACGCATCTGAACTCCAATTGATGAAACGCACTGATAACTGTCATCATTATCGTAGTTATAACCTGTCCTACTTTTATGATCGTATAACTTCCAATTGTAACATTGCTTCCCCCTGCTACTACTTGGCGTACTTAGAGGAGACTTTTTCATTTTGAAAATCTTCTTTACACTAATACTTTTTCACAAATTTTACCAATATTTACAAGCAATGTTGTCAATAAAACAAAATACTAATAGGACGCCATACTATTTATTTTCTGCTGACCAATCGATATCTCGAAACAATGGCGTCTCTCTTATATCGATATACTACAGCTCTCGAATCGATAGTGAATTCTGAATTGTTTAATTTTGATGTTTAAATTTTTCATTTGTCTTTAAATAACTTTACAGTCCTAAATTCATTAATAATACCTTTATAATTAGTATTTGGTTATCACTTATGAACATTTCTTTATATAATTAACACTGCAAGTGGTAAAATTGAACAATTTTCTTTTCCTATTTTTATCCTGTAGCATACAATTTAGGTACAAGTTTCCTTTTGTAAGTAATTGCCAATAACAGCAGACATCTATAATATTTAGAATATTGAAAGATGACATCAGTACGACATAATGTTAATTCGTCCGTGGTTCGTTAATTAGCCATTAATAATAAAACTGTCTAACATAGACACACTGATACCGTGTATATGTTCATTTTCTCCGCAATTTCTGTGCTAATTGTCGCAAAACAAAAGAGCGCTCGTGCGTTGTAATTATTTACTTATATTCGTACAAAATGGCGTCCATCATAATGTACGTAATTTACCACTCGTGTGCTGAACCGTTTGAGTGCCGCTAGCTTTGTAAAAATTCAAAAAGCTCCAGGCAACGCCATCAAACTTCTTTCATTTCAGTTTAAAAATTGAATTACGCTTTTTTACTTTCATATAAAAAAATTCGAAGTTTTACGATCGCTCCATTCTTTGATTTCTAAGCAAGTAACAAAAAAAGAAAAATAAAAATAAATAATTGAAAGGGAAACAAATAAACTAAATTTAATTCTACGAACCGATAGCTTGGCACTTTCAGAACGGAAAAGCGCGATCGCGCTGCTCTGCATTCAAACAATTAAGGCAGTTAAGTCGAAGAATTATACAACGAAATTATTATAAAGTCATAGATAAATACGATACAAAGAATTACTACCATAAAAAGATACATTTAAACAAAACTACAATACTTTCAGTATGAGACATCATTGCATATGAAGTTACTTGCTTTGTGCATTCACTAAAAAATACTTTCTATATTAAAATAAACATTATTTTTAACAATTATTTAAAGTCTCTTCTCTTAAATGCAATCTTTACCATACAGTACGTGCTTCCATCTACGTATGGTGAAACAGTAACACTGCTGCCAACCTCATACAACGAGGCTTACGAAGTTCGAAACTTGAACGCGGGGATACAGGTGGCACTACAGCAAGAGTTGAACCACGCATGTGTAATGGCGCTGCGGCTGGGAGTAACGAGACTATCGCAGATGCACCGAACGTTTCGTCTAGTGTGGGTAGTAGAGTGTACATCGCGCTTTGGTCGCGCACGTTTGCCAGAGTTTGTGTCCACAATGAACGGCTTGGAACCTGTTGCACGGCCCGGCGCGGACCGGTTCGAGTCGTTTCCTTATCGACGTTTGTCGTAATAGAAAGGTGGTCTGTTTTTCGGCGAGGATGAACTGTCGCAAGTGTCGCGATCGTCATTGTTGACGTTTCTTTTGGTGTGACAGTGGTGGCCGCTACCGCTGCCGTGCATCACGATTTTCTCGTGCTGAAACAGCGCATGATACGTTAGCAACGAGTGAAACAATGGGGATCGTGCAAAGTCGTGCCGGCGAGAGCGATGGCGGTGTGCGCGAGGTGTTCATCGGTGGTGTCAAGGGCGGCGCGCCTCATCAATCCTGTCAAGCTAGCCTTGGCATGGGAAGTTTGGGTGGACCACACGCACGGAGTGGCAGCGTCCGTGGCGCGCCAAGACAACCGATGCCCGACGCTGTCGAGCTCGAGAGGCGCTTCACCAAAGTGCTGGTGAGTTTTCAATGCCTTGTGCCTCCTTAATCATTCCTTAAATCCCCTAATGCGCGCGTCCGGCATGTCTCATGGATTAGGTGCACCGTTTCCTTTCGCACTGTTGATCTTTTCATCTGCGCCGACACAGTGTCCAAGAAACTGTCAATGCAGACATGGATAAATTTAATTTTCTGTTATTGAATAAAAACAATGTACTACTATTGATAATTTACCGCACATATCTGTCATCCGTCCTCCGAATGTCAAAAATTGTTGGCAGGGATACCAATATTGTTTACCTTAAAGCAAGAACGATATTTGAACGAAGAAGGAATAAAATATACACGTCTTTAGAAAAATATTTATGATCGCTTCTTTTTTATTCCTCGGCGCGGATTCTGTCCCTTCATTGAAATTCATCGGTATGTCGGTATTTCAGAGAAATATACATTGACGCGTGCATACAAACGACGTTTACGAAGCTGGCTTTTAAAACGCTAGGCAGGATCCATTTACACCTATGTGTGTGAACGCAAACGGTAATAGGATATTAATTGAAACGCTTTGATCGACCGTAAATTATGTGCCGCATTAATAAAACAATTTTCCTTAAATGGATTCTGAAGTTCGTCTTGTTAACGCTTCAACATACAACAGATTATTTTATTTCATTAAAGTAATTGTGTGTAATAAGCTTCCTTTTTTATGTATTAAAACTTTGTGCGATGGATATTTATTTCATTTGTATTATCCGTGTAACACGATATAACGTATCTCATTCGGTATCAACACATGTGACTTGTAACTTCTAGCTGCTAATATTTGAACTCGAGTGAACTCGCTATAAACTAGTGCTTTCCGTCGTTACATCGGTGTCCATCTGTGTATTGCAAGTTTAATACAAAACGTAAAGTAGCGATTTACATTTCATTCCGTTTCCAGAATCGATAACCGTATGTAAATCAAATTCAAGTTTATCCTGTTCGAGAAATTTTCAAATTTAACTCTGTAAAATTGTTTTTTCGTATTAGGAAAGATATGCAACTTAGGATTAGTAGATATCATTGATATGAATTAACAATTAATTTATAATTTTTGTAATTGGAGTTATAATCGGATACAATGCTTGTACATACATATTTTCAACTTTCAAGAAATTGTTGCGTGGCATACGTAGTTGCGTCAAATTATCTATATTATTTATATTTTTATCAAATAATTTTTTTAAATCAATAATGGCAGACTAAGATATATACTTTATTATACAAAAGACCGTTTTATAGGATACTGTTTGTCTAGAAAATTTGTTTTAATTTACTATTGTGTTTTACTTAATCAGTATTCATTAATAGATTCAGCATTATCAGTTATACGTATTTAGATGACGTCAAACAGATAATATTTGTTGTCCTTCGTTTGAATTGGATTTAAACAAGGAATCCTTTGGTCAATAACTACTAATTCTGCTTTTTTTGTTACATCAGATTTCCTGAACAACACCTTTGTATCCATGTTTTAATTCTACAGAACAACTAATGAAGAGAAACACAAACAATCTCGTAAATACTTGATATATTATTATTAGAACTCGTGATTCTTGAAACACAATAATTTTTCTATTCATTTAAATAATGGAAGAAAACCAAACTATAACGTTCTTACAAAATAATTGCTACCTATCATTTCAAAGCGAATTTTAACAGTATGGACTCTGGTCCAAGAAAGAAAAATTACAAATGAACATAAACAAACTCTCTGGTTACGGGGGAGGAGTATAATAATAATATCAGTTTGTGGAAAAATAATCAAGTAAAACTTAAAAAATGTAGATATACTGATCGTTTATTATGAAAATGATGTAAATTCATATCTGCAAAAAATTAAGAAAGTAAATAATTTACACATAATTTAGTCTAAACTTTTCGATTATAAACAATTTACAGTGTATATTTCAAAGTATCCGTATGCTTTGGTCAATTGAAAATTCGTTAGTAAATAGCATTGCATAATCACTTATTCCGAAATTTGAAAACTCAGAAATTATTTATGGTCAATGTAAACATATTGATACAGTTAATTCTCATAAAAGTTGCTTACATAATGTATCTGCTTATATTTTAATTCATATAAATGCAGGTAAACTCAGTAGATTTTATTAGTATCTTCGAATTGATTAAACTGCAAATCATTAACTCGTTAACTGCAATCCATCGAGTATACACATCATCTAAAAAATGTAAAACGATACTAACTTTTGTAATGATTAATTATTTGTTTTTTCAGGCACATATGTAATTCTTTGTTTTGCTTTAGTTTTTCATTAGATTATATTATAGATGCATTTGCACTGCGTTTGACAAGTATGCACTTCATTATGTTTGATTTTATTGCATATACAATGAAAGACTTTTTAAATTCACAGTTAACAAGTTAAATCTCTCAATCCAAAGAAGAAAAACCTTACTTTCATAAGAAACGGTTCGTACATATATGCAATTCGCGAGTTACATGACTCTAATAAAGGGTTAAGAGGAGTTGTGCAGAAGATTACTAAGTATCGTATCGAATAAAAGAGTACGAAAATGTGTCAATAATTTTTCAATACGTTTTGTGAATGTTCGTCGGCAGGGCCACCGACCGCTCGAGGGTCACCAATTTTTCTTTTTCGCTGGGATGAAATGTCGAAAGGTCGAAAGCGAGAATCCATACGGCGGCAGAGGGAAAGGGTAGAGATGCACGCCTACGTAGAGTCGGCTCTCACCAAATAAGATTCGATTGCGTATCGAGACGACCATCGTGACAACTACGAACATATCATAAACAAAGAGGCCTCTTTATGGTTCGCGTTAACTTGTAATCCCTCGATTCATTTCTGTTGCTCTAACTCCTCTGTCTTTCTAACGCTCGATCATTTTTATGTGGGATGTCTTCGGATCAGTGATTTTGAATGCGCGGTAGGAGTGCGAGGCGAATGTTTAATCATAGCGTTTGATGCAATGAAAATATTCGTTAAATTAAATGTATTTTTCTAATGTAAAAATGTAATTAGTTGTACATACATCTTTATAAATAAATTCAGATATATTAAATATTATGAAGATGATTTCCTTTACTTTCTTCAATTGCTTTTGCAGTATGTTTGCAAGATCTTTTACCTCTTATCTACTGTTTTTATCAATTGCAATATTACTTTAATTTTCTAAATAAATTGATGTATTTTGTTAAGTTGTTAATTGTACCGTATTTTGCCATTGAATTCTGTAAATAAAATGCGAATGAATAATTGAATCGAACACTTATAATGTTTCTTTTGTTGAAAGTAATTCGTAAAATTTTAGTTGAAGAAAATGAAGATGATTTGAGCTTTATCATATTCATTTCAAATTATGTTCTAACTCTGTCATTTTAAAGTAGTGAAGAATCTGATAGTGTAACAGTTACGTGAGTTTGTAATTTTTGTACACGTTTGACCTAAAGGTGCGGCTAACTGTTGTTGCGTTACACCGGAGTTCTCGATAGCGAACTCTGGTTCATCGTTGTAGCAGCTTCGTCGTAAATTACGCTGTATGCATGTACGATTAATAATTAGAATGATGTGCTACCGTATTTACATTCATGGATTTTCGAAAAGTAATAATTCGAAAAACCTTTTAAATTGCAGTATTACACTTGCATTTCTGTAATATCTACCAATATTAATTGAGAAATATTTTATAGTTTTATGTATAGAATGATTTTAATATTTTATAATATTTTTATACAGTTAAATCGAGATTTATCACGTTAAATGTACAGAATGAGCATAAGCTTCAAATGATATACACTTTATGAAATATTAATGGTAAACTCTAAATATTTAATGAATGTTATTTTAGGGACTCATTTGTTTATTTACAATATTTTGCATAGTGTTTAACAGTGTTTTGTTATATGTAGAATGAGTACGAAATCGAACGAAAATAATAGGACGGAATATCCATTCAGAAAACAAACAATATTATTACGGGAAATCGTGCCACTGCGCAATGTGTTATGTAAAAATATAAAATATCATAAGCAGTAGAAAATAACGTAATATAGTTCATAAGAAATTATTGAATTGGTGTAAAAATTTGGATGTTTTTTGAAGTCAGTAAAAATACCACTGAATTCATTTTTCTCGTCAAAACCACAACATTCTTAAAATGATGGAATAAATAACCTTACAGGAAGTTGGGAGAAGGTAATAACAACCAATGGAAATTATCTAATAAATTAAATTAATAAAAATATTTCAAAAACTCTTCTTTTTATTTTTTATAAAAAAACGGTTAAAACTTTTGTATCGACCTGATTATGGAATCAAATTGTACTGAATCGAACGTTAAGTATTTTTCCTCTATTTCATATTTTGGAATAAAATAATAAATGTACGAATGTTATTTTCTCTATAATTTTTTATAGGTACTATCTACGGATTTTACTCATTATTTTGAAAATAATACTTATTACTGATTGTAAGAACGAATTCGATGACTTTCTTAAATAGGTATATACGAGGATAAACTAATTCTATAATGACTAAATTCACAACTAAAATCCCATTTCGGTTATTGAATAACGGTGCCCAAGAGAATCTCAATTTGAACTATCAAGTTATATTTTCTATAATAAATTTACATATTTATAACTATTAAAATATTCTGATAACCCTTTGTAGTTTGAGCTAGTCTTTTTCCATCACTTCCTACGATACAGTTATACGTATGACAACATAATACATTGAACAAATTATATATTTTCGTTATATAAAAACATTAAATATTCAGAGATTAATAACCCACTATAAGAAACAAAATTAAATTTATATTGAACGTACATTCATTGATCAAATAAATTCATATTTCGAATTTCTAACATTTATAATTTAATTAATTATGTATTATTAATGTAATTATTATTTATAATTCATTGTATTACAAGCAATATAATATAATTAGTATTCATTCATAATACAGTTTTATGTAGAAAAATTAGAA